GGGGGGTTAGTTCTTTTTTGCTATTCAAGAATGTTGCTTTCATGTAGATCACATGTGTGTACTATTGTGAAAAAAATGCAATAAGTCGATTTCCACACTTGTTGTGTTTTGTTCTGTGTTAGGTTGGCTGAGTAGTTTTTAGGGAGTTGAACTCTGGAAAATTGCACTGTAAATGGCTTTGCCTTCATCTTTCCGATGAACTTTAAAAAGTTTCGTATCTTTTGAGTTTTCGATGTTCGTTTAAATAATGCTGTTATACCTCGTTCGTTTGCCATTTTTATTCTTCCTTTTTTTTTTTCACTCTATAGTTTACAAGCATGCATTTTTAAGTATGAGCTTTCAAGAAGTGATTGAAACTTGAAAGTGTTTATTAAGTTGGTTAAGTTGGAAGAGAACAACACATTTGGTGTCCCTTCAAAAAAATTAAAAAAAAAAAATCATATTTTTTGATAGGATTTTGAGCAGAAAAGTGGTTGTTTTAGTCACCTACCATGTAACATAAATGTGATACCATCTTATTAGCATGCCCCTCCTTGTATTTGGGATCTTATAAGGTCTTTTTCTTCTTCTTTTTCTCTGTCTTTTGAAACTTTTCAATTAAATATGTTGTATAATAATATTTGGTAGGCAAACAAATGCATATAGTTGTTGTGGACCTGCATAATTTGTTGGGGCCTATCTTTTTCAGCTATGCCTTCATGTAAAAGGTACTTAGGGACTCCTCTATTTTAAGGTGAATTTCAATGTGGTACTATCCCTCGAGGATTTTTAATCGTTCGATCAACAAATAACCCTCCAAACGGGTGAATGTGCGTGGTATGTGATCGAACGGTCAAAACACCTATTAGGACAATGCTCTCGAGTCGAGTCGAATTTACCTTATTCGAGATCTAACTTCTTGTTTGCCATTGTTGAAAACGTGCTTGCTTGGTTAGAAAATTAAAAATAAGGTTTAGTTGGAATAATTATCCTTGAGCTTTAGCTTAATTACACGAAAACCTAGTAATCTTTCAGAATTAGAGGTATTTAAAAAGAAAATCAAGATTTGTAGGTGTTTTACAAATTTACCTTCCTCGTCTTGGTTTAATTGAATAACATATCTGTTTTTAGACTGCCTCGTGATTAATCAGTCATAATCTTCCAATAAATATACTTACTTTTATATTCAATTGTCATACTTTAAAAATACAATATAGACGAAAAAGTAGGGTATTTCATAATGCAATTTTTTTAAAGAAATTATTGAATGTCTCATGGGAGATGATAAAATGAAAAAGGTGGAAATGTATTTGCATTTCAATTAAGTGGTCCTTGTTTCATTGTGTAAATTAAATGTATGGTTAAGGGTTCAAAAGTTTAATCCACTTTGGGTTAACAGACTTTAATGATTAAAAAAAGGAAGAAATTTAGAACACAAGTTTATTAAGATTATGTTTGGTAGACAAATAAGTCAGATTATAGCTTATTTGGTTAGCTTATAAGCTCCATGTATTCAAATAAGTCTTGTTTGGTATGACAAACTTTTTTTAAAAAGCTCGAGCTTAAGCTTCCTTATGAAGTTTATCAAATAAGCTAGTTGAATTTTTTTATTTCAACTAGCTTATCAGCTAATTTTACCAAACACTTTTATCATATAAGCTAGTTTTTCAGCTATAAGTCATAAGCTATAAGCTTCAAATAAGCTAGCTGAATTTTTTATTTCAGCTAACTTATCAGCTAATTTTACCAAACACTTTTATCATATAAACTAGTTTTTCAGCTATATGTCATAAACTATAAGCTAAAAAATTGCTGATCAGCTATTAGTTAGCTTATCAGCTAGTTTTACCATACATAGTAAAAAGTGAAATACAAGTTTGGATAAAAGCATAGTCTATGGAAATGGCATATGATTTTCATGCCATTTGTAGTCCATTCTTTTTTTTTTTTTTACTGTTTTAATTTTGTACAATTTTGTCACCATGTTCAAAGGTGGCATCTCATTTTCATGCCATGTTACATGGTCCTATGATAATAATCCAAAAATATCAAAATATTCTACTAAGTTCTTAAAAATATCACCATCTTGTGCATCTCAATAGAAGTGAAATGAGAATATGAGAAATTATAAGGGAAATTTACATATATAGACCCCCTATAATATATATTTATATACATACGTTCAATATAGACTTTCATTAAATTGAGATTTTGATGTTATCTTTTTTTTTTTCATATCTACGATATGAGACTTCTCGCATCTGCTCATAAAATTATCTCTCTTCATATTAAACATGCATTAATTTAGGGATATGAGATTTCCCACCTGCTCATAACTTTCTCTCTCTCCATATTAAACATGCATTAATTTTAGGGATATGAGATTTCTCACATGCTCATAATTTTCTCTCTCTATATTAAACATGCATTGATTTAGGGTTAAATAATCACAAGAAAAAGAAAAATAGAAAAAAAATAAAAAACCGGATTTCAAAATTTCAAACGGTTAATCGACATCTTGAATTAAAAAAAATAAAAAAAAATCGCCCAATCGCCAAATATATGTTTAGATATACTGTATATATACAATATATAAACATGATCAGACAAGACTTAATATTAACCGTATAGTTATACATAAACTAAACAATATACAAACAATTCTGAAACGAGATAAAACATAATACACAATTCTGAATGATTGCAAAATCCAAATCAAATGTAATTATACATAAGATAAACAACATAACCACCAAATATAAGTTCAAATATAGTGTATATATACATCAGATAAACATGGTCTGACAGTTCTCTAATATTAACCGTGTAGTTATACATAAGATAAACAACATATAAACAATTCTGAAACGGGATAAAACATAATAAACAATTTTGAATGACTGCAAAATCCAAATAAAATTTAATTATACATAAGATAAACAACTCTGGGACGGGATAAGCATAATACACATTGACATAAAAAAAGTGAGATTCTAAAAATATATGACATCTAAATAACATTAACTTAAAAAATACATAAACTTCCACAGGTGCTACAGAATGGCCGAGTTTCTGCCAATCGCACCACTTTCACACTGCTGCTGGGTCGAGCAACCGCGCACTCATGTCAGGCAAGCATCAACCTTCGAGAGCCTCCGTCAGTGAGGGCCTCAGGCGTTGCGCTGCCGCTCGTAGCCCGGCCGAACTGGACCTCCATATATCCGAAATTGAAAGACAATTTCTAAAAAAAGAGAGAGAGAGAGAGAGAGAGAGAGAGAGAGAGAGAGAGAGAGAGAGAGAGAGAGAGAGAGAGATAACTTTGGTTGTCGTGGGAGTCGGTTTCTTGGAACCGTTCGGATCTCGAATTTTATGAAATTGAAGCTTCTTTTGGATGACCTTATGCTCGAGTGCTTGAAATTGAGATGTTCAACGAGATCGGTAGCGTATTAATCTTTCTTCGTTTTCACTGTTGACGGATTTTGCCTCATTTTTCTTTTTCTTGGCAATTGAAAATTTATGGAGTCTGTAGTGATTTTCTTTGGTTTTTAGGGAAGATAAGTTCTTGCAATTTTTCTTGTGAAGATGTTACACGACAACCGAGGTTGTGAGAGAGAAGAGCAATATTTTTTATTGATTTAGTGTTGTGTGTGCAAGGAAATGGAATATCTCTCTTCCCGATTATCATGCAATGAGATAATAACCACCCTCCTTATTTAAAATTTTTCTTAATTAAATACTTAGTTCGTAATTGTGATGAAAAGATGAATACATCGTATTATTAATATTATTTAGTAAATCAAGAGTAAGGGTCGTAATTTTCTCAAATTATAAACTAATTAAAGACCATCAACATTTTGATTATAGTTGAATTGCAAAAACCAAATAAATGTTTTGAGAACAAAATTATATATGTATACATAATTTAAGTGTAATTATAAAGTAGTTAAAGACCAACTTAATTATAGTTGAATTGCATTTGATATATTTATATATGTATTTGACTATGGGATAACTTTTGTAATTTATTTTTAATGTTGGTTATGAGTGTGTTTGTTCAAATATTTAATTTTCAATAATTGTTTGGATATTCAATTTTAGATATAGCCAGCTTAGTTTTTTTTTCCCTTTTTTTTTTAAAGTTATTATTTAAATTTATCTAATATATTTTTAAGGTAACATATCTTGAAAAAAAAAGTGCATTTATCATAATAAAACTCATTTTATTTTTTATTGCACTAATTTAACCATAAACAATGTGGACTCAGATTATACAATGTCAACTATGTAATGTATAGTGTAATTTTTCTCATGAACTAATTAATATTAATTTACTATAACTCAGCCACTTCAAGAAACTTCTTTTTTTTTTTTTTTTTTGAGAAGTATTTTTAATTGGAGATAACGAATTGGATCTCCTCTCTGTTTGTTAATTTCATTTTTTCTACAGAAAAACGATAAAAATAGAGTTAAGACAAACATGATATGAAAAGGATAAATGAAATGAATAATAACAAATTTGATTCATATAAATGTCAAAATAAGTACAGACCGAGTTGTTACACGAACCAAGTTGTTAGCGAGCACACTTTGATTTATCTCATGAAAAGTCGAGCACGACCCGTGTCATATACTTGAATGAATCAAACTTGAACAACTAATCGAGCTCGTTTATTAACGAGCCAAGATGAATCTATTCGCGAACAAGTCATTTTTATTTATTTATTTATTTATTTTAAATGAAACAGTCAAGTCGAACTTATTTGCAAACCAGACCCTCTTGGCCAATTGCACATGGGATCATTTCATTCATTTGTTATTACAGTAGTACAAACTTGCCTTTTGAGGGGGCATAATTTATTCCACACATTTTCTCGTCTTTCCCGGCTTTCTTTTCAGATCAAGTACAGGATCGACTGGTTCGATTTTCCCGCCAATTAGTGTCTTTAACTTATTTCCAAAGGTTGAATGTTCCATATGTCTTTGGCGTATTCGTGAATTGTTCGGTCGCTGCTAAACTTGTACGAACCTGCTGTGTTCAATATTGACATCCTAGTCCATCTCTGCCAAAATATAATAACCACAACAAAGTTAGGTCACATTTTGATGTAATTCATGTTGTAATTTTAAGCATACTAAATTACCCCCAAGATTCGAACATGGTTATAAAATAAAACCGAGCAAATGATGGAAGTTGTCGATTTCATCAAAAGTGTTCACAAAATAGCTTCTGAACTCATGTAAGTTATTTCAAAAGGCATGATAAACAGTTGGAGATGTTTGCAGCACTACGTAAAGTTGAGAAATGTAAATACTTTTTCGTTTGGAATTTCAAGTGATATTTCGAGACTTTTTAAGATATCCAAAAATCCTATGAAATTCATTTAAAGTTTTTACTTTTGAAATCCGAACAAATCGTAAAAAGTCTTAACAAGTCATAGTTTCAAATAAGTTAAAACATCTTAGGATTTTGTAGGACTTTAAAAATCTCAAATGAATACCCCGAGACTTTTAAAAGTCTTAAAAATTTTATATACACCAGGATTTCTAAAGTCTTAAAAAGTTTTTAGAAATCCCAAATGAATACACCCCCCTTAAGAATCAGATGATCTCTGCACATCAACTAGATTTGAGTAAATTGTAAGACAAAAATCAAATATAAAATAAGGGCTAAGTCAATATAGTTAGGTAACTTGGGTTTTATAATAACAAACTTCAGTATCACCTAATCTCAGTGATGGGGCAAAGTTCGACTTATAATGAATGACATATTAAACGAAACAGGGAACACACCGATTGCTAGAGAAAGGTAACGAAAGAAAAAAAGGAAGGCTTACCCTTTGATCTCGATAAGCAACATCAACTTTCTCTTGGCACTCGATGTAACTAGGAAAATCCTTTCCCACGAGAAAATAATCTCCACGCCCATATCCTTCATTCCCTTCCAAGGACCCCAACAACTCATCATAAGTATGAAGCCCGAATGCGCCACTTCTCACAAACTTCTTCACTTCTTCGAAGCGTGCATCTGGTACAAACTGCAACCAGTAAAGACTATTTAATAAATCACACATGTATAGTAAAGACATTTAAAATCCTGTTAACCTCTCCTTTTTTGTTCCAAAGTGATGTACATTTTTTGTTAGTTAGAAGCGAGTAAAATTATTTTTCCTTGTCATGCCCCCATTTAACGAGACAACTACCCGCAGAGTGAACTTCAGAATTAATGTTAGTATATTATAGGAACATCAAAAAGTACGAAAATGACAAATGAAACTATCCTTTTCCGACAAGTGTATTAGTTTTACAAGTAGGGGTATTTTAGTATAAAGAAAAATGGATTATTTAGTATAAAATACATACCTTGCCTGCAGCTCTTTCTTTCCTAAGTCCAGCTATGTCCTCCGCTCGAGCACCGAAAAGGAAGAAATTGTCTTCCCCGACTTCCTGTCTGATTTCGACATTGGCACCATCTAAAGTCCCGATCAATACGCAGCCATTCATTGCAAACTTCATGTTGCTGGTTCCACTAGCTTCCATACCAGCAGTACTGGAAGAGAGAGTTGGGGGGCAAGCACTCAATGCAGATAATAATAAGTTGTTCATTTGAGAAAAAAATTATTGCATAATTTGGGGTGAAGAGTAAATATATAACTTCAGGTAAGCTCTATCTTCACGATTACTTGTACTGTGGAAGAACAATTTATATATCTTTAGAAGAAGTTACTAGTAGCTGATGGGAGTTTGCTATTTGTACACAAGCAGAGAAAAAATAAGCAAAGGGCCCCTGTTAAATTTCATAAGTACACTATTTATCAAGCCATAGATGGATATGAAAATGAAGAATGAAAAACTTCCTCGTGTTTTCATAAATAAAAATGTATAGGGTGATAATTGCATGGTAGAAAAAAAAAAAATACGCCTAATTTCTTCTCTACATGTGAAACTCATTTGACTTAACTACATTACACTACATGAAGACAGTAGAATTACTTTTCTCTATTAACAACATGCTACCTGATATGCTGTGAGAGTTCACTTGCTGGAATTAATAATTCAGCAACAGTAACATTGTAATCTGGAACAAATACAACCTACAGAAAAATCAAAATAAACGAGAGAGAAATGAAGTATTTTAGGGTGATAAAAAAACAAAAAAGGAATAAACGAGCCTGGTTTTATATCTACGAGGTTTCATACCTTTAACAAGTCACCAATATCTGGATCATGATTTATGGTAGCAGCAACATCTGTGATGAACTTTATAATCCTCTTGGCTTGCACGTATGTTGCAAAAGCTTTACCTCCAAATATACAAACACGAGGAACAAACTTCGCTTCTCTTTCAGCTGCAGTCATTTCTTTCATTTTCTTATAGCGGTAAACAATCCCCAGTATGTTTAGTAGCTGCCGTTTGTACTCATGAATACGTTTTACCTGGAAAATAGCTAATTCAGTCAAAATAGCATGGCATCTTGGAAGGAAAAATAGTTTAATATTATTAAAACATGTGTAAAAATCCAAATATAAGATGATTTATAAACAAAAAGAGAAATGAGCGCAGAAAAAGGGCAGAAAGAAACCTGAATGTCAAACATTGCATCAGGGTTAACAGCATAGCCAGTTTTTTCTCTAAGGAATGATGCAACCTTAATCTTGTTAATTCTTTTAGCGGCCCTCCACTGAATATGAAGATCCTCGTTATCAGCAACCTGCCCATGATTTCATTTTCAATCTAGTCAGAATGCATATCACGTCTTGAAAAGGTCAATTCGAATAAAGAAATGACAAAAGAAAATAAAAATACAACAAAGGGCCATAGGTTCAGCTTTACGCATACGCACAACCGCCATTTACTACCTTCCGGAGTTCTGCCAATTTCTCAGTTTTCAAGACCCAGTCATCACTGCCTGTCCACTTGGTAATAACAGCACTTAGATCAGGATTGCAAAATTTGATCCATCTTCTAGGCGTGACTCCATTCGTTTTGTTCTGAAACTTCTCAGGCCATAACTGCAAGACAATAACAAAAGTTCAAGATATTAATGTATCTACTTACAGAAAGAAAATGTAAAAAACTGGTGGAGGCGTTTACCTGGAAAAAATCATTGAAGACTTCTTCCTTAACTATTTCACTGTGTATCTCAGCAACACCATTCACGGAATGACCAGCCACCACACAAAGGTTAGCCATTCGAACCATTTTCGGAGGTACAAAAGCTGGCTCCTCGTTTGAAGTTTCACTCTTATCCGTTACCTCTACTTCAGATTCATCTTTATCAGCAACTGTGACTACACCAATAGCTCCCGCTTTCTCTCCAGTCTTATCGATAGGGCTCTCTTCTGGTTTGGGCTTGGCAAATAAACTTGCAACAGAAGCAGGCAGATCAAAATTCTCCAAAATTCTCATTGTGGCCAACTTTTTCTCCAACATATCAGGGTCTGCTGTGCCGTATTCTGATATTATGTCTTCAATTAACTGAAAGACGCAAAA